AAAAAAATCTATGGCATTTTCTTAAGGGATGGATTATTTTTAGCCATGGAGATTTAAAGTTCTCTCCAAGTTCCTGAACTTTCAGAACTTTTCTTCACTAAGGAGCTTGACAGTAAAGCAGGTTCTCTTTTTTCTCTTTTTCCTAAGTTTTCAACTGATCTAATTAAAATATGCAAAATCTGCCTTTCTGCACAATGAAGGAAAACACATTTTTTTTCAGCAAGATAAAAGACATTTTTCCAGCGGCTTTATTTCTGAGGATAGCTGACTGCTTCCCTTTCCATTTTTAGGGCTCAGCAACTGTCCACTTTCTGGTAAAGAAATGGGAAATAAATAATTGTGTCCATTTTACTTGTTACTGTCCTTGAGATTACTGGCACCAGATGGCTTTTGTGACACAAAATGGGTTGTCAGTGCCCACTGGGCCTGATTCTGATTGACACCAGTGCCACCAGGCACTGCCACAGCTTGGTGTACATGGAAACCTGGTCCTTGATGGTTAATTGAGCTCAGGTGGCTCCAGAGGAATGAATTCCCAAACGGGACAGACATATATAGCCTTTGAAAATGGAGCCTGGGTTGGTATGGTGTTTCAAAAATGACACTGCTTATAATCACCTGCATTTGTGGGATTTTTGGGGGTCTTTTGCATTGCTTTTTGAGTGAAGTTTCCTTGCTGCAGCTTTGCCCTGTTCCCCTGCTAACACCCCTCAGAAAGGAAGGCTGGAGAAGTCCCTCCTATGTTTTCTCTACACAATAACCAGAGGCTTTTGCTTTAATTTTTTTTCTCACTAGAACAGTTTTCTGTCTGTAATCTGAACCTAATCTTGGCTGCTAAATGGACCCTCTCCTTGGGCTCAAGGCTGTTCCCTGGCAGTAAATTCAGCTCATCCCACTGGAACAGGGACAGATGGGTGTCATTTACAAAGCCAACTGCACCCAGTCAGAGCAGTGCAACCCCTGCAGCAGCCCCTCCTGTGTCCCAGCCCTTGAACACCAACCCAAACCCTACAACACAGCTTGGCTGAACCTGAACAGGGAGAAGATAATTTTGTGTTCTTGGACTGACACAAAACACAGGCAGGAGTTTTGAATAAATGATTTGCTGTGAATTATTTACTCAGCGCTGCTCAGAACCTCAGAGGACGGGGAAGGGAGCTCAACATTTGCACCATAAAATATTGAGTGGACTCCAGTGCTGTTTGCAGGGGAAGAAGAGTTTGTCCCAGTGCTGTGACATATTTAGGTGGTGCCTCCCTCACAGGGCTGCTGGTGGCCTCTGGAACTTTGAGCCATGAAGCCTGGCCTTGTCTGGGTCATGTTTTTGTGCCCCATTAAAGCTGTGGTTGCATTTCTACTCATGGGTGGCTGCACCTCTGTCCCACACAAAGCGGTTCATGTGCACAGGCTGTAGCAAGTAAACTCGTTCCTCAAGGGAAGCATGAGTGAGGTACAGCAAATTCAGAGTGTGAGCATGTATTATTCATCTTTTAACAACATCACAGCAAAATTTAGGTGACTTTGGCAATGATTTTGATCATTAAAAGGGCAGAGCATGGTTTGGTGTTTATAAGGCCAATGACAGGCTCTTCTTCAGCATCAAGGCTCAGAGCATGAAGTGCAAGAAAGGCTCATTGTAACAGTTGTGGTGCTTACAAAGGAAAAAGAATTTAATGCTGTGATGTTGTGCCCATGACAGAGCCGCAGGGGACAGAGCTGCCACGTGGGTGTGGTCCTGCCCATATGGATGTGGCTGTGGGAATTCACAGTGTGACAGCAGAGGCAGGATCAGTGGGACCTCTCTCCTGGCTAACTCCTGTCAGAGGTCAGTTCCTCTCTCCTGGTCTAAGGAATATCCTGCATTCAGCTTTGGGTGCAGAAAGGGGAGAAGTGAACCCCAGAAGAACCTGGTGGGGTCAGTGGGAAAGGGAAGCAGGAAAAGTTCCTTTGTCAGGCCATAGCAAACTATCATGTCCAGGGAAAAGGTGAAAGCTGGAATTCACTGGATTCAGTCTGTCTTTAAAGGAGTTAGGAGCCTTGGTCAGGAGCCTGACAGACTTTGACATCCACGAGACAACAAAGAGGCTGGGAAATGAGGAGATGTGGGCTCAGAGCCCTGAGGTGGCTGCAGAGCTCAGCTGAGAGCTGGTCCCTGGACAAGGTGTCACCCAGTGCTCTGCTGGGAGGTACTGGTGGCTCTGGGACACTCATGCTTCAACCTCCCTGTGACAGGACCAGGCTGGTGGGGGCTCCAAGGGGTGTGAGGGAACCGTGAGTGGGTGGGTGGATGTGGGTGGGTGTGGGGGTGTGGGTGTTGGGGTTTAAGCCCAGCCAACAACCAAGTACAATGCAGACCATTCACTTGTACACACTCCACAAATGGGATGGGGTAGAAGATTGGAAAGAAGGCAAAACCTGTGGTTTGAAATAAAAACAGCTTAATAAATGAAATAAAATACTATCATCATCATCATCATCCAACTGTAGTGAAAAGGGAGGTGACAAAAGAGAGACGGGAATAAGCTCTAAGAAGGGCAAGTGATGCACACACACTGCAGACATGGACCACTTGCTGACAGATGTCCAGCCTGTTCCCCAGCAGTCATCAGTGACCCTGGCCAGCCCCCCAGTTCCTATACTGGGCAGGACACTGTGGTATCCCCTTGGCCAGTTCAGGTTGGCTGTATTGGCTCCCTGTGCTCCTGCCCACTGCACAGCCTTGGCTTGGGTGAGCCCTGCTCAGCCACAGCTACAACACTGGGGTGTGGGCATCACCATCCTCACACTGAATCCAACCCACGGCCCTGCACCACATCCTGGGGGGAGAATTCACCCATTCCCAGCCCAAACAGTGTGGGTGGGCGTGTGAAGGTGTGTTTTGAATGAGGGTCTGTATGTGTGTGTGTGTGAGGGGCGGCTGTACCCCTGTGAGGGTGTGGATGGAGGAGGGATGTGGCTGAATTCGTGAGGTGTGGCTGGGCCTGTGCTTGAGTGGGCTGTGTACTGGGGGTTGTGTGTGTGTGGGGGGTGTCTTGGGGTGTGTGTAGTGTGTGCCTGTGTCAGGGTGTGTGTCTGTGCGGGGTGTGTGGGGTGTGTATGTGCGGGGTGTGTCTGTGTGCGGGCTGTGTGTGTCTGTGCAGGGTGTGTGTGGGGTGTGTATCTGTGTGTGGGGTGTGATTGTGTGTGGGGTGTATCTGTGTGCGAGGTGTGTGTCCGTGCGGGCTGTGTGTCGCCGTGCGGGGTGTGTGTGTGTGTGCGGGGTGTATGTGTGTGAAGTGTGTCCGTGCGGGCTGTGTGTCGCCGTGTGCGTGTGCGGGGTGTGTGTGTGTCTGTGCGGGCTGTGTGTTGGTGTGCGGGGTGTGTGTGTGTCGCCGTGTGCGGGGTGTGTGTGTGTGTGTGCGGGCTGTGTGTCGCTGTGTGCAGGGGGTGTGTGTGTGTCCGTGCGGGCTGTGTGTCACTGTGTGCGGGGTGTGTGTGTGTCGCTGTGTGCGGGGTGTGTGTGTGTGTGTGCGGGGTGTGTGTGTGTGTGCGGGCTGTGTGTCGCTGTGTGCGGGGTGTGTTTGTCCCTGCGGGCTGTGTGTCGCCGTGTGCGTGTGCGGGGCGGGTGTCTCGGCGCGGGGGGCGGCGTGTGCCCGTGAGCGGGTGCGGGGGGCGCGGCGTGTGCCGGGCGCTCGGCTCGGCTCCGCTCGGCTCGGCTCGGCTTGCCGGGGCCCGGCTGCCGCCGAGGGACGGGCGGAGGCGGCGGGAGCAGCGCGGGGAGCTGCCGGCGGGGTTTTTGGGAGGCGGCTCGCAGCCCTGCCCGCCTGCGGGCGCGGAGCGCGATGCGGCGGCCGCCCTGCCCTGCCCGCCGGCGGCGCGGAGCCGCGGGGCCGCGGGCCGCGGCGTAGGGACCGGCCGGGCAGCGGCGGGCGGAATGGGGGCGCCCGGCGGATCGCGGACGAGCCCCGGGCCCGCGGGCACCCCGGCGGGTACCGCCTGACGGAGCGGCGCGGAGGTGAGCGGGGACGGGCCGGCACCGGGCGGGCGGCACCGGCCGCGGGGACCCGGAGCTCCGCGGTCACTCTCGGAACTTGGAGCTCCGAGCCCTCGAGTGCCAGGCGCGGGTGGTCGGGGCCGCTGCCAGCCCGCATCCCCCGGAGCCACCGGCACACGCCTGCCCCGGCGTGGAGCGCTGCTCCCGCTGAAGTTGCCGGCGGCGGAGCCCGGGAGGGATGCGGGACTGGGAGGGATGCGGGACTGGGAGGGATGCGGAGCCGGCGGGGATGCGGGACTGGACGGGATGCGTGGCCACGCTCCCCCACGGGAGTTGCCGGCAGCACCGGGTGCTGGGTTTTGTCTGCCCTTGCCCTAAATGACAGCACGCACCGACCACCTGCATCCTCGCAGAGCCGGTTAAATGCCGGTTTAAGCTGCTGTTCCTTCGGGCAGCCCTTGACCTGGCTGTGAGTCATCTGGGTGCCCTCAGCATGGGAAAGGTGACAGTGATACCGGAGAGGTGTTCTCTGCTGTGATGCTTGCAGAAGAAAAATGCTTTTTTTATCGACCCCTCTTTGAACTACCAGGCATCTCGCAGTTCATAGTATATCAAATTCTGCAGGGGAAAAAAAAGATAAAAAAGAGCTGATTTTCAAGACTCTTCATAAGTTCATTTGTTTACTATGGAGCCGTGACTTCAGTGGTCTCTTTGGTATAAAAACATTCTGCTTGTGTGATATTTTTGGTGGCATTGACAACAGATTTGTTAGTCATGGTTATGAATATGGTAATGTGCGAGTCTCCCATTAAATTCTCCGTGCTCTAAGGTAACATGGTTGAACAGTCACCTACCAAGTCTTGCGTTCTCGAGCAGCATCAGTTTGAATTCCCACTCTGTTTGATCACTTCTTCTTAACTTTTCCACTGTATTGTAAAAAATATTTGGTCCTTCTGCCGGTCAGATGTAAACCCTAAGTTTTGTGCCCAGTGCATCTGTGCAAATGAGCTTATGTAATGCAGTGCCCTGTGCGGAAGGCAAGAGGTGATCAAGGAGCACAGAATCTCCCGAGTATGAAGGGACCCACCGGGATCAAAGCTGGGAGAAAGGATTTTTGGGAAGAGCATTGTCTTTGTGGTCACGGTGCCTCAGTGTGGGTGTCTGGCCCCACGGGAGAACTGAGTGGGGTTTTTCTGTTCTGAGGACATCCTGCCTGATCCTGGGCAAGGCTCTCGGGCTTCGACGGTGTTGATTGCCTTCTCCTTAATGATGTCGTGTGCCACTGCTTCCCAGGGCTCCGTGAAGCTGCTCAGAAGCCCTTGAGAACACTTTTCAGCCAGGCAGGTACTGTGTAAATGCAAATTACGGTATTGCTGCTTTAAAAATGCTTTTCAGAAGTTAAAACGGTATCTTTAGGCAGTTTATTGGAACTTGTAGCCAAATGCCTGTTCAGGGAGCTCTGAGGCAGACTAAAGGAACCGGCATTTTGACTAATACTCCCTCCTAAAGAAATCTAGTGCTGTTTCTTGAGAAAAGGCAGAAAAGCACCCCCCATTGAGGTGCTATCAGATGTGCCACTCTTTGTTCCGGCCATGAGTGTTAGCTCTCAGTTTTCCTGCATGCAGCTTGGCAGTAATTATCATTATCAGCTGAAGAAATGCTTCAGCCCCAGACCCTTTAGTGGATGAGGACATGAAGGTGCTCCCCCGGACCACGACACCCCTGGCCCGCTGTGAGCCCACTGCTCTCTGTGGTGGGGCTTTGCTCTTCCATCTGGCTGCACTTTTATTCTCAGGTACAGCAGGGATCAATACACTGTCAGCTAGGTGCAAGACTTCCTAGGCAAGAACTACACCTCAGATACTGCTACAGAGTACACTTCTGGAATTAAAAGTAAAGAAAAAGGTCGAGGTGCTGGTTTTTAGTTTAGTTGGGTTTTTTTTCCCTGTAAAGCGGTGAAGAGAAACTAGATGGAAAAGGACTTGAGCTTGAGACTAACCTTTGATCAGTCTTAATATATCTTGCAAGTGCATAGAAAATTAATAGAATTCCTTATTTTTATTACTGGGCTTCTGAGAGAATGATTTCTGTTTTAATGTGCATCGCTTTCACTGTAGTGTATTGAAATCTCATTGGTTTTGTAATATGTTTTTTTAAAAAGGTGTTGTTACTTTTCATAACCCCTTTCTGCTTTGGTAGAATCTCTGAATAGCTTCTAGGATTGCATTAAAGGTAATGCAAAGCTCAAAATTCTTTGATCAGCTTCCTTTCTGCAAAGATTTATTTCAGGCAACCTTAAAAAAATCCTTAGAATGTCAATTCTGAGGTCTTTTCATGTTGTGGATTTAATAGACAAGGTACTGTCAGCTGAGCTATGAGTCTTGCTAAGAATATGATTACGTTGTTTTTTGAGAGATGTAGTTCTTGAAAACATACCTTGGAGAAGAAAATTCACAATAGCTATGTGCAAATATTTTTTTTTTCTACAACAGATGGAAGAGCAGTCAAGGGTGGCTAAAATTAGTTTGAAACAGAATAGATTATTCCTACAAGCACAGTAGTATAATTTGTACAAAATGAGCCAAATCCTACTAATTGTTACACTGTAACTGGTGTAAATATAGAGTAATTTATTTGCCTGGATTTTCTCCTTCTTTAAGAAGAAATGCAGAACACAGGGGATTGTGAGGCTGTTGGATTTTGACATGTTTGCAAAAGTCAGTTTTTCCTGAAACCCAGTGGCAGAATATGGCCCCCCACTCTCATCTTGACAACAGCATAATATTCACTCCCTGAGACTCCAGTTCCAAATTTGCTGTAATATGATTGTGGGTAGAGGGTTGCTGAATGACTCAGATGAATGTAGCTCAGAGTAAACAAACATGTAAATCATTTCTGGCTAGAGACAGAGAAAGGAAAACATGAGAAGAGAAGAAAAAAGCCAACCTGCAGGATGAGACATTCATGAAGTCATGTTTAGCAAGGATCACCAAGTTCAGCACAGGGTGCAACCATCAAAAAAACTGGAGGTCTGGAGTTGCCACGGTGTTTTATCTCTGGAATTGAGAGGCACCTGTGTGGAGTGAGTGCCTAAATGCAGGTTTTGCACAGAGCAGAGTTCTGCAGCTGCTTGGGCTGACAGCCTGGAACAAAGGTGGGCAGGTTCATCCCAGCACCTGCATTTGGCACTTTTCAGAGGGTGAGAGCTGGGAACCTGGTGTGCTGCCTGTCCCAGAGAGACAGGGTGCTGCCAGGGATGGGTGTTCATCTCTACAATGTCCAGTTTGGGGGGAAAACAATAGCACAAGCTAGCAAATGATTCCTGAAAGTTTCTGAACAGGAAATCCTGGTGAGCAATGTGGAATTGGTATGAATAACTGCAGAAGAGTCCAGACCCAGTGTGTGGTTCAGATTAAGAAGTACCAGAGCAAGTCAGTGGCTTTTAAACAACTGTGGGTTTCTCAGCTAGACAAGCATTAAATCAGAGCAAGGCTAAGGCTGCTCTCAGTTGATTTTCCTGCCAAGGGAGATGGCCAGTAAGCACAAATCACTGCAACAGAGCACCTTGCCAGCCAGCTCCTCTTGGATGGCCTGGCCCAGTGCAGTTAGGACTCAAGGGAGGATGGAGCTGTCCCTGTGTGAGGGAGCTGCAGTGGCTGCAAAGCTGGGGCAGGGTTGTTGTTCCTCTCATCTCTCTGAGCGATTCCGCTTCAGTGTGTTTTCAGGGTAAGTTAGGTTAAATTCCCTCTTGGGGAAGCAAGAGATGTGCTGGCATCCAGAGTTGAAATGAGGAGAGCTGGGGCTGGTCCCCTCCTGCTGCTGCATGAGGATAGATAACCTGTCTAATGTTCTGGCTGCTTTTATCGTCATGGTAAAGAGGCTGCTGTGTTGTTGTGTGGAGTCCTTCAACATAAAAGTTGTGTTCTTCCTGAGATTTGTTCCCTTGGGAAGCAGTGAGTAGTCCCCAGGTGAAGTGTGGCTGGAGGTATGGCATCCTTGCAGTGTTTTCTGTGAGGTGATGGCTGCCAAGGGGAGGAACTGGACAGACAAGGAGTATTTCTCTCTGCCTATGAGTATCAGGTAGACTTGGGTCCTCATTTTCTCCGTTTTTTATTTTCTTTAGGGCACATCAGATTTTATATGGTGTTGGTCACAGTGGCCATGATAAGAGACTTGACCTGGGCAGCAGAATGGTTTCTGCTGGTGGGAATGATGGGTGTTTCTGTTAGCTCGTTAGACAAGTATTATTATTTATTCTCAGCTCAGTCTCTGGAGTCAAGCCAGGAAGCTGCTTTGTCCTTATTCCCTTCTCCCTCCTCTCCCTCTCTCTCCCTCTTCACGTGCAGTGAACATGTTCCAGTGAGAACTGAAGCAATTTCCTGGCCCCTCTCACGTGTCCTGCATCCCTTTTTTCATCCTTAGAGAGCAATCTGATTCACTCTTTGAGAAAGACTGGCTTAAGCACCTGAATAGAGTCAGATGTGTTCCCTATCATGTCTGCTAATTAAATTGTGATGCTCATTACCACAGGATACTGTGGAGGGCAAAAGCATAAGCAGGTTGAAAAACATGAGGCAAGTTCACAATGCACAGAGAGAGGAGAGGAAGGATGAAGGTCTGGGTGTGACGTCTGTCTCCCTGGAATTTCCAGGGGATGTTGGGGCAGCTCAGAAGGGCATCCAGACTGCTGCCCATCACCTGAGATGGCATCCTGGGGTACAAGGAGCATGGATTTAATCCATTCCTGTGTTCTCCCAGCTCTGATATGCACAGCTTGCTAAAACAGCAGTTCACTTTCTGCTCAGTAAAATAGAGAGGAAGGATAGAGCCTATGGAATAGTGTTTATTGGTTATTTTGGTTCCAGAATGATAACCAGTGTAGAGATTTCAGCATGCTCTCACAGGTATTAATGGATTAACATAGGAAGCTGCAAGAATTTCATTGTCTGAAGCCTTACTGACAAAAGCAGTGAGAGGATGAAGCCATTTGGGGCTCAGGGCTCTGGCTGGGACAAGCAGATGAAATAATTCCTCTTTCTCATTCGCTCTTTGTGTCCTGTTCATTCTGGTTTGTGCTGCATTACGAAATGGAGGTGCTGATCTCTTACTTAGCCTGGAGCTGCAGTTAATGGAAATCTCTGCATTATGTGTATGGGGGTATTTGAAAGTTTCCAAGTGGAAAGACCTCCAGGTTTATAAAATTGTCCTCACTCCCTAAAGTTGTTCATACTAGGAACAAGAGGCATAAGGATTGCTAGGATGGCAGTGCCTTGTCACCCACTTCTCCTGTGAGGTCGAGCTGGGGGCAGGGATGTGGCCAGTGAGTGAAGGGACAGGGAGCTGAGGGGGGTCCCTGAGGAGCTGCAGGGAAGGCTGATTCAAAGAGCAGCATCTGCTGCAAGAGAGGGATTTTCTAACTGAAAAGAAGAGGTTATGTGGACAAAGGAAGTAAGATGTGATCTATGGAAGAGGGCAGGAGAGCGCAGAGAATGTTTGAACAAAAAGATGCCAAGTCCCTGCAGGGGCTATAGTGAAAAGCCTTTTCCCAGATCTTTCTGTCCTGTGTAATACCATCAGGGGATCCTCATCAGGGAAGAGCAGACTGAACCTCTGAAGAATCTTAAAAGTTTGTTTCTCCTGCAATATCTCATTTCTTCAGCATGAAAACATGAAATTTTCTCTTGGGAGAGTCCATGAGGGCCATTCTGGAGCTGACTGGCCCCAGTGGCTCCCCAGGGACTGCTGGAGGGACCAGGGCTGCCCAGACAGAGCCCTGTGCTCCAGCAGCCTCCTGCTTCCTGGGCAGGGTTAGCAGCTCCTCTGAGGTGCTGCCTGATGCCCCGTGGCCAGCGTGGATGCACGGGAGGAGAGAGGTGCCACGTCCTGTTCCAGACGGACCCTGAGTCCCTCCTCTGCACCACGGACTTCAGGGGCACAAGATGAACCCAGATCAGGGCAGGGAGATGCTCCGTACCAGGGAAAAGGGCTCCAGGCTTCTCAGATTTAAGGTCTAAACAAAGTTTTAAAGTTCTGCCTTAAAGTGCGCATCTTTGTTTGAGCCTGGAGCTCTGTGTCAGGGCAAATGTTCTGACGTTTGTCTGTGGCTCTCTGTGGATCTTGAGCTGATGCCAGGTTTGGAGTGGTATCCTCCCAGCTCTCTTGACTTCTTCCCCAGGCACAGGGTGCCCAGGAGCTCAGTGCTGGGATCACCCTGGAGCTGGGAGAGGTTTGTTGTGGTCCTGCGAAGCCGCGCCTGCGCACACCCGGAGCAGCACTGCTTCCACATTATCTCCTGCAGCTTTCCCTGCACCCTGGCTGTAACCTAATCAAACAGGCTGAGCAGC